TCCTAAAGGGGGGTTTATAATTAAACCTTCAACTCTCAGATAATGAAGAATCACTCCAAAGATTTGTTTTGTTTGCTTGTTTTTTTGTAGATATGCACCCAAAGAAAACATGCCTGTATTTTTTCCCCTGTTTTCTTTTTTTGTCTTTTTTTTTCCTTCTTCTTTGGAATGAAAAAAAAAAAAAAAAAAAACTCTTCTAAATGCTGCAGACCTGCCCTCTTCCTGGAACTTTCCCACCACATCTATAAACTGTCTACAATGTGAGACTCCAGACACAAAGAGCACTTCAGCAAGATGATCACCCTCATTAATATTCATTCCAACCAAACCAATTGTGCCAGGACAGTCATAAATATATCTTGCCCAGCCGGCCTGACTTTATTCCATAGTGCCGCACTTTTGGGGACACCAGGAACAAGCGACACAGACCCTAGGACACTGCAGAGCACAGAAACAATGTTCCCTGATAGTTCTTCCCTCACAGCCTGTTTGATTGGCAGGAAGATCTTGCATTCACCCCAGGCTGACCTGCATGTAAATTGGGCAGGCCGCCCCTTTCTGGGGTGGACTGCCCCTTTTGAATGGAGATCGTAAAAACAACTGTCATTGTCAAACCTTTACCCTTTGCCATCAGAGTGTCCTAGTCAGGATGTGAAAGTTAAGGGTATGCATTCATAATACATAAACAACACATGTGCACTAGCAGCCCCAGGACACATGACATTGGAAGTCCAGAACTCTGTCCTGGGCTGCCAAATGTCAGTTTTATGCACATTTAAAGTCTGTCTCGGAGTGCACTGCATGCTGCGGAGACGGACGTTAAAATCTTCCCTACATCTCTGCTCTCACCCACCCGCCATTGCAAGTCTCTGTCATAATGCCCAATAGGACATTTTACAAAAGAAAAGATCCCACCACCACCCGCTCCAAAGAATTAAAGTAACCCTTTAAGGCCAAAGTGAAAACAGAGTTAGAGAATATTTTTAGTTTGGATATTTTGACCTTCAAATCATAAAAATTTAAATTTAAGGTAAACATTTATTTTTTTTGTTTTAGTCCAGTATGTTGAAGTGTGAGTGCTTTTGGATATTATTATTGAGCTCTCCACTCCTGTGTATGTACATCACTTTTGCATGGAGTTTAGAGGAGGGTCATAGGAGTTATAAAAAAAATAAAATAAAAAAAAAATAAGCACCTCTCCATTTGTAAAGAAGCCATTAAGAGAGTGTACACAGAACAAATTGCATCAATAAGAAGATTTCATGTGTTAGAAAATAACCAGTCTATGTTAAAACAAACCCTGGTCTGTATAAAACCACTAATGGGGGTGGGAGCATTACAGGCACTCCTCACTTACCGACCGGGTTCCGTTCTTATGACCCAGTCGTAAAACAAATTGGTTGATAAGTGAGGTCTATGCTCAGGGAAATTTCCCAGAACATAGACAAGCGCAGCAGAGCAGCGAATCCCTCAAATCTATGTTCGGGGAATGTTCCCCAAACATAGATTAAAGGGATTCCCTGCTCTGGTGCACTTGTCTATGTTCTGGGAAATTCCCCAGAACGTAGACATATGCACCAGAGCAGAGAATTCCTCTAACATAGACCAGCTCTCTAACATGGGGAATCCCTTGAATCCCCACGCTAGAGAGCTGGACGTAAGTGCAAGCAGCCGTAAAACAGGTAGGTCGCAAAGTGAGGACCGCATGGATTCACTAAACTCATCACAAATAGCTGATCTAGAGAAGCATTACAGATCAGCTATTTTAAACTCCTTTTGCCATTCAGAATAAAAAAAAAAAAAAATTAAAAATTTTATATTATATATATATATATAATTTATATTTTATTTTTTTTAAATGGAGGTAGCAAGGCTGGTGTAATAAAACTTGTTTCAGCTCAAAAAAAATATTTAAAAAACGAGATATATAAAACAGTTATGTGGAAATATTCACAACAAAATAATTGTATTAATGATAAACCTTTCTATCTGGAAATACAGAGTAAAGGTTTGGCAAAAGTAATAAGCACACAGATCTACCACAGGAATTCTGTCCTTTTTGGGGATTACCATCACAATTAGTGGCTTTGTGAAGGTGACATATAAACCTGTTTGGACACTGAGATACTACAGTAATCACTGAACAAGTAGAAATAATAAATAAAAATACCAACACTACACAGAGCAAGTTACAAAGTTTCAAATCCTGTATGATAGAGAAAAAAAAAAAAAAGGAAGACTACTACAGTACTCACTAAAAAGAATTGCAAATCAAAGTGAATTTTGCATTACAGGCAAAAATAGACAAACTGGAAAAAAAATTCAAAGTTAGTTTTGTCATTAGATCAGTTACCTTGGGCTTAAATTTGAAATTCTTACTTTAACAAATAACCCTGTAAATATGCAAATATCATAGCTTGATTTAAATAGGATTTAAATTATGCCAAAGAATACATCTTTATTAAAGTTTGTATTATTGGTATCATAATTTGCATTATTATAGAATCTATGAAATACTCGTTTTGGTGGTGGGGCTGGAAGTGAACTTTAAATGTTACTTGCCACTGCAAGCCGGTCACGCCTATATATACACACACACACTATACCAGGGTTGCCCAGAAGATAGATCCCTATATGTTGTAAAACTACAGCTTCTGTGAGGCTTTGACAATCTAAAAAGGTATGCACGGTATGGGGGAATCTACCTTTTGGGCACCCCTGCACAATATAAACAAACTTATTGGGGCACACCTCTTAATTATTGAATTCAGGTATTTAAATCAGACCCACTGCCACACGTGTAAAAGATTTACCTAGCCATGGTCTTTCTGAAGAGGTCAGTGAATTCATCTGTGGTACGGAGATAGGATGTTAATTCCTGGTTGTTTAGATTTGTTCGGCAAATACTTCTTGCACAGACTTATTGAGCTGCATTGGGAAGTCTGTGATTGGACAGCCACAGAAGGTCTGAGCAGGTGAAGAAGAGAAGGGTTTGGAAAGGCTGCAGACAAGTTATCTGCAGCTTTTGCAAGCCAATTTTAACTTTACCTCAAAAGGAAAAAAATAAATAAAAGCATAGTTAAATCCATGCATGTTTTCTTTGGGTGTATATCTACAAAACAATCATAAATTTATATTTTTGGCAGTGGAGTGTCCCTTTAAGCGGTTGTAGTACTGTGCTAGTGGGAAGCGGGAAGATAAGTGTAGCCAAATCAGCAGAGAGATATGCAGAAACAAAGCACTTATTTACACTGAAGAAAATCAGGGTTATTCACCATGGGTGTAAATGGTCAGAATTCAAAACTAACTTAAAATTTAAGGCCAAAGGGGCCACACTTTAAGCAGGACAGACTTGGAGAATTTTCCTGTTTGGCTTGCAATTTGAAAGGCACCTTGAATTCCTGACAATTCTCACTTTAGTGAATAACACTGTATTAGAGTAACATACTCAGACTCTCTTGAAATTATTTTACTTCACTTGGCAAAACCTCATATAAAGGCTAAATGTTCTTATCTGATACAATGATAGCTTTTCATGTTTAATAAAACACAAATAAGGAGCAGAACATAATTTACACACATTCATACTGTTAACTACACTACAGAAGGCTGTTTAAAGGTAAATTGGATTATAACATTTTATGGGCTGTTCGTATAGGCTGCCTATGTCCATGTGCTGGCAGGTGACACCATTTTCTAATATGGCAGCTTACATGTCTTTTTGTAAAGAAGCCTCATCCCTCATGCAAACGGTTGCTTTATGCTGAGGGTGTATAAGCAAACTGCCTTTGCACCGAGACATTGACCGTCAGTGATTCATGTATAACAAGGGTGTGAATTGGTCAGAATTTAATTTCAAATAGGGTAAAGCTACGCATGACAAGATATCCTTTTTACTTGGGCGGCACAAAAACAAAAACTTGTAACTAGAACCATTTCCTTTGTGGAAAATATCCCTTTCCCACTAGTAGTTTTATTATAAATATCAGCATGCAGGCATGACATCAGTGGATCAGACAGTCAGGGCACACAGGGTTAGCGTTAGGTGGCTGTACAAAACAGTAACCCCAGTTATAATTAATGTTCTCTCACACAATGAGCTCTACCAGTGGCACTGCAGTAATAGTGGAGAAGAGTAAATCTATGTGCGAGTTACAGACTCAAGCAGAATGCCAGTATTTATATATAAACAACGTGGATTCACATACAATTCCCCCACCCTGATATTTACCAGGTGTTTCAAAAGTGACCTGTGTGTGTTTGACAATTTTAAAACAGTAAGGACCACATAGGTGACATTAGCTATACCAATTTCCAATATTTTAAATAGAAATACATTGATTTATGAATTATTTCTTATAGATAAAGCACTAGTCACTGTGTAAAAAGTAGACAATACAAAGATGAGGTATCTGCTCAAACATCAATGAATGATATCCTGCATAGAACGGAGTACTTAGAAACGAAATCGCGCAGAGCCTTACAGGTTTAAGTTAACGTTAGCAATAAGAGAAAACATATACGGTTTTAAAAATAAAGTGTAAAAAGAACAAAAAAAAAGTTTTAAAAATAAAAAAACATTAACTTGCTTTAATAAACAAACTAGGAAAGATACACTTTAAATTGCCATTAGTTTGGGAGCAATACTAGACAGAACTGAAATTACATAACCTTTTTCTGGGTAAAGGTTATCAAACTATGGTGCCTTATTGCAAGCAGATACAATATCAACTCTTAGAAAAGCAAAAAGCATAATTGCAAATGGAGTATTCGGTTTCTTCCTTGTTCTACATGTAACAGCCCCCATCTGAACTGAGGAATGCCACTTTTCTAGAAAGAGCTCATCTCCAAACCAGTTTTCAACTACAAAACAAACAGCAAAACACTGATAAAATTAGGCAAAAGATAAAATAGGGAGTATTAAAAAAAAAAAGGCAATAAATAATGCTATAAATGCAGTTTTCTTGTGTGAAAGAGCTTTCACAAAAACATTTACTGAAGGGGTCCCAAGTAGCATGGAGTCTGCTCCCTGAAAATATCCATATTCTTAGGAGCTAATACAGGGTATATGAAATAAGTAGAAACAACCTAATTTAGGAAATCTACCAACACCTAGTAAAGCAGGGATATGTTTGGTGTGCACATTCTGCATGCTTATCTTGGACAGCCATATTCAATGTGTGGATAGAGGCAAAGCCACGGTAACATGTATGCACAGTCAATGGTTTGGGAGAATACAGCAAAACTGGCAAGTCTCATTTGCAGTATTAGCTTACAGGGCAGTCCCAATCATCCTGTATAATAAGGGAAGCTACAGCTGGGAGTTGTATTATTTATTCACCCCAAAAATTGCTGCCAGTCAAAGGGACATGGGATAAGGAGAAGTAACAGACCAGAATATAAGGGGCTTTACATAGGTTGAACCTCTTTACAGATCACTTTATGGAAGTTGCAGAAACAGAAGCATGAAAGAATATATGTATTATATACTCCGCTTAAAGCAAACAATCTGCTGAGCAGCCAAATCATTCTTATTGCCCAGTAACTTATGGCTAAACATGCAAATCATATGATGTACTTGTCAATCTTCATGGTCATGTTACAAATCATAGTATAAGTATATAGTGAAGCCTCTTGCAAATAAAATCTTATATTACAGGCATTATAAGTGTATAAAATTTGGCCTTTAAAAATAATCTTCATCCTGGATATCTGTGGTGTAGTTAACCTCCAAATAACACTAATATAATAAGCACAGACACTGGTCAAACTTGAATTTTTGTTAACACAGACCACAAACAAGGAAATGTGCACAATTAAATTTCAGATGAAATTTTGCAATGCTACAGTTTTTGCAGAACCTTGCCCTGCTTGCCCCCCTCCCCCGTCCCATTCTGCATTTAAAAAAAAAAAAAAAAAAGTGAAAAAAGTGAAAAAAGTAAATTTTAAAAATAAAATACAAATGTATTAGAAGCGGGTATGAGTCATTACACATTTAATAGAAGTCAGTTTTAAAGAAGCTTAAAACAATGTATTTAAAAATAAAGTGAGACAAAGAACAAATCAGCAAAAGGGACCTATGGGTATTTCTTTTAAAATATGTCTGTCATCTTGGTATCAGGGATAGACTCACCACGCTAACCATTTCTGCTGATTGGTGACTGCAAGTCTACAATACCTATGCTGCCTGCTCTCCCTTATCCCAATAAGTTGTCAGGGAATGATGAGCACAGAATTTATCTGTCAAGATACAGCTGTTTTACTGCACATTTAGAGGAAAATTAGTTCAACCTTTGCTTCTACAGAAGAGAAAGAAAAGTTAACATGTCTTTCTGACTGTAGTTCAAGATCTTGGAAACGCTGGTGTAAACACAAGATCACAGAAGAAATATATTTGGTTACCATATCAATTGTTTCTCCAGTCTTACTTCAACACAGAAAGTCATATATATATAAAAAAACACCCCACAAACCACTGTTTAAAGTTTAAATGGTAATTTATAGAGAATTGTTTAGATGCCACCAATGCCTCATGGTGCCCAGGCACTTGCAGAGAAATGCCACTCAAGTCAATACACATCTGGACATTCCATCCATAGTGCCGTACATGCACATGTGCCCACACTCACACACATTTGTCACTGGCTATAGGGTTGTGCAAATACTCACATGTGACAATTGCATGTTGGCAGAAATGGTTTTGCAAAATTGTTCTGACATTACGCACAAGGGTATATGTATTGACAAGTCTGTATGACAAGTGATATGAGAACAAAGGCAGAAATATGCAAATTAATGAGATCTGGCTTTTTGCTAGCAAAGTAGGATTAACAGGCAAAGGGGCAGATGAGCCTGAATTACTGGCAGGTAAACCTGGCATGACTTGCAGGAAGCACTGTTTAGGTACTGTCTGCAGAGTCCTAGTGCCACGACTGCATCTAATAATGAGCACTTGCTAAACACTTTAGGAATGGCAAGACAGGATTTGAAAATCTGGAATGTCCCATTGTCAGGATGGTCAGGAGGCATGATGTGTGTAAAGTTTCACATGAACAGAAGTAAATGTTCTTAAAGGGGCACTATAGGCACCAAAACAACTTTAGCTTAATGAAGCAAGTGTATAGATCATACCCCTGCCATTCAAGAGTTACATCACTTTGTTTATGCAGCACTAGTCACACCTCCCTGCGTGCACAGCCTTCCTAAATACTTCCTGTAAAGAGATCTAATATTTAAACTTCCTTTATTGCAAATTCTGTCTAATTCATGTATGTCTCTTGTTAATACGATCCTACAGCCTGCATGTGTGATTAAAGTTAAATTTACAGAGAAGAAAAAAACAAACAAAAAAAAAAAAACTTCGAAAGCAAGTTCATATCGGATTTAACAGTAAACCACCTTTTTTACACAGGCTGTATGGGTCACACTCAGTGAGGCGTGGCTAGGGCTGCATGGACAGAAACAAAAAGTGATCTATACACCAAAATGGCTTCATTAAACTAAAGTTGTTTTGGTGCTTATAGTATCATTTTTACATTTCGGAAAGACTATTGTAGCCAATGTTATCAAATATTCAAAACCAAAAAAAAATAAATAAAAAAAATTTAAGTTTGTGAAACAATCAAATGTATTGAAATATCTGAACGTTATATGCAGCATAAACCCTATTTTAATAAATGTTAACATGTTAGCACTATTTTTTGTATATTGAATCTAATAGCACAACAATGAACTTTGTAATAGGAAGGTGGTCGACTATGTCTGAACATGTTTGAGGGTTATTGATTCATTTTCTCCCAAGGGCTCTAAATGACCTTACAAATTAATCAGAATACCAGATACTAACTACAATACAGTCAATAGGATCACCCCTCACATCAGGTTTTAAGTTTGTCAGAAAGGATTATGTTTACTGAGATTACAAAATGATTTTTAGTGATTGCATGTCTAGCTGAAGACCAAGGAAATGTGTACTACAAGAACAATTATTTTTTACCCTTGGAAATATTAAAATATGAATTCCCAACTGAGGAAGCCGCATATACAATTTCTACTAAACTCTACATTTACCACATTCAAGATATTGGCACTAACTGGTGTATAAATCATCGGGAGGCTTGACAACGGCTTTGTAAATCTTAGACCAAACAGTCAAATTAGAGACATATTATGGTGTCTCCATTTTGCTTTTACGAAATGTGCCTAGATATCATATGCTTATGTTTAACTGGAAGGCACTGTATATAGTAAGTTATTATATTGCACCTTGCCCTTTAAAGGGAAATAAAAAGCTGGAATGCAAAAGTATTTGAGTAGGAAAAAAAAAAAACAGAACAGGTATAACAAAAATATCAAGACAAGTACGTGCATCATGCATGTACTAAATTATATTTTTGTTGTCTCAATTTAACCCCTTAAGGTCATGTGTCCTTAAGGGATTAAATAAACTGTGCTTAAACTGGAAAATTTACAGAAAACTCTGATCAGCAGTAACCACAATCATTTCTATCTTGTGCTAAAGCCAAAGAAGATATTATTGACTCAAAACTTCACATATATTTGCAGAGTTCTTCACTAAACCAGGAATTGTTGTGACAATAATATCCAAACATTTTAAAACTGAGTTCCAGCCTAAAACTTCTAATCCTGTACAATCCTCAATTTGATAATTAAAACTTATTTCGGAAAAGGCAAATATGGCAACTTTTATTTAACACTTTTTTACCCACTGTCCTATGTGTTTACAGCTACTTAGCCATTAAACAGGTCATTAAGAATCACACAAGGGTCTCAAAGAACTGCTAATGGAAAGACAAGAAAAAAAATACAACAGCAGTACTACTATCCACATCAGTTCAGAAATCAGGAGCAGGCAACTCTTCCTAATGTTCATCAGTGTACATTGGACTCAACTAGTATAGTGTGTAATACAAGCAGCTGGGTGAGGGGTCATGAAACGGTCTACTCACTACCATACTAAAACAAACAAAACAAGAGTTAGAAAAACAAAGTTGTATCCCCTTAAACATTAGGACACGAAAAAGATACTCTATTTTAGCATCTGTTTTTGTACTATTTCAGAATTTTGCAAACAATGTTTTTATTAAAAGCTCAAAATGTCCACTCGCAATTAGCCATTGAGTAAAAATTCACCACTGTTGAGTATGCAGAGGCAACCTAAAGTTAAGGACTGGCTAATAGCAGTGGACTCTTAAAATTTATATAATGTTGCAACTGAATGCAAGGCAGCAACTTACGAAGAGCCCAGTTCTGATGAAATCACTTTATCTCATAGTTATGTGTACAGTGAAGTTATCCCTTTCCCCTCCTTTCAGTTTTGCTACAATACCAAATTAACACCTACAACCATCTGTCTTCCATTATACTAAAATACCAAATTACCCTCTACACCTTTGTGCCATGTGATGATATCAACACTTTCTCTGCTGCCCATTCTAGCCCCTAGTCAGTAGGGTGCACTTACAGTCTAATAACCCTAGCATAACACTTCAAATCACAAAAAAACCCTGGCAAATGAATGACTGTAAATTAGTTAATGGTAAGGACATAGGTAGTCCATAGAGGGTCACAGAAACTATATATTAATGTGGGGAGACTTGTTGTTGACCATACAACTTGAGAGGAACACTCCACTAACCACTATAGCACACTGTGGTGGTTATGGTACCATGAGTGCCCTGGCACCCAAACCCCCTCTACCCATTGTAAGTAGTCAGACCATTTTAGATTGGGTTCGCCTGGCACTGCTTCCCTCCTCCACTACTTATGACAGAGAGCTCCTAAGCAGGAATGTTAGCTCTCCTGAGCTAAACCCTGCACCACCAGGCTTAGCTCAGTGGACTTTTGGCTTTCTAAACGCAGTAGAGACAGGGAGCAGTGCCCAGCAGACACCCCAGGTAACAAGTTATACTATTTTAATGGTGGTGGAGGGGATTCCTCAACATGCTGTACTGGTTAGGGTGCTTGAAGTGCTCCTTTAACTGGCTGCTGATACTGTTGGTGAGCATACTCTCTGCACATGAGGTATGATGCATTAAACATTTACTAGAAGTCAGGATTCATATGGAATACAAATTTTCCATGAAGTACTATCAAATAATTTAGTACATTTAAATATTTTTGATATGTGGGCAAAACGGCCTAGGACACATAGCCCACGGGGGCCTACTCAAGGTAAGATCTATCTAAATGGACACACTCTAGGTGCAACATTACATTCCTACAAAATATTTTAAATCAGTGGGAACAAAAAAAAAGGAGGTAATATGGCATGCCTAGGAGTGTCTCATACACCATATAGGTAGTAGTCAAACAGTTTTTGGATACGTTAACCTGAATCTTTTAAGCACGTGCAATACTTTTGGCCTTTAGCAATATCAATTTTGTTCGTACATAGACATTGCCAATTAACTGAGAGGGTCAGCTGACACTTGGCTGATGAATAATTTCTCAAAAAAAAAAGGTATTGCCAACGCAAAGTGGGTGCTTCTAGTTTAGCACTTAAGAGGTGCCATAGATGCCTTAAAAAACCCAGGTAAGGGTCAAACTTTTAAAACAGACAACTTACTATGGGAGAGAGCCAATGGACTAGTGGCATCATAACTACGTGGGGGCTGTAGTTGTTATGGTGCCAATACTATCCCTTTAAGCTGACACATACTAGGAAATGTTTTCAGACAGCAGCACACATTAAACACTAACACCTGTAAACTGTTTTTCATGATGCCTAAATGGTTATAACAAAATGTCAGAAAATGCATGGTAATCTGTTGTATTTAGAGTGCCTCCAACCAGACAAATGTTGTCCCAGTATGCCTATGTACCTCCATACAGTGCATGAGATCTCCCAGGTGTGCACATATCACCTCTCTTTGTTCATTTTTAAAACAATTAAAAAAGGAACACTAAAAGCATTAAGAATACAAACCAGAATTTCAAACGCTTTATTGTCCTTGTCCCTTGTTAGTGTGTCAAATAAAAATAATGAAATTACATTTTTGCAATGCCAAGGCTACCTCAGCTCTGTTTTCCTCTCCTCCTTCAGCTACATCACCGAGGAGGCATGGTCTCCTTTTAGATAGTCCAATCCAATGGCCCTCAGTGGAGCATTGGGGACCTAATGTGCATGTGCAGCAGCGCTGCGCTCGCATTCAAGCTTTTCTATATAGAAGAGGCATTGAATTAATGCTTTGTCATGTGAGTTCTGCATCAAGTGACAAAGTTTTACTCTATCAGTGCAGTGTAAGTATCTTCAGTGGCTGCCAGCGTAAGCCACTGGAGTTTTGTTTTACCCTTCAAGGTAAAACATTGCAGGGTATAATCAACAGGAACAGTGCTCCAAAGTCACTCCATTGAGTGGAAGTGGCCTGAGTGACTTTAGTGGACTCTTAATTATGCCAAGAGGGATAAAAGAGTCAGTTCCTAACATCCTCACAGTCAGATCTCTCTCCAAAGTGCATTTGACCCTCAAAAGTACCGTTGCTAGGCAAATGTACCCAGAGATCTAATATAATTAAATACTGTAACGTAAACTTAATTGTGTGTAAAGTGCCTCCACCAAGTCACATTAACATTCAGTGTGCTCATATCCATCTAATGACTTTGGCCACTTCAGCCATGCCCATCTCCTCAGCCAGTGTTCCCACTAATCTATTTTAGTATACTGAAAGGCTGGATAAATACAAATGGTCATAATCCACCCTTCAGCAGAGTGACTGTGAACATTAGGTCTGCACAGGTGGAGAATGTGCAGTGTGTGACATGCTGGGCGAGTAAATAGGCTGGGGTAAAATTTGGGATGGAATTGCATTTGAGTGAAAGGGAGGCAACTGGCTGTATAAAAAGGTTTAAGAAGTTTAGATAAAGAAGAGTGACTGGTTCTGCAGGATAGCAGTGTACAGGGGATAACTGGATGCAAAGGAAGTGTTGGGAATGCACAGTGTCCAGAATGAATTGACTGGCTTAAGAAGATAGGAGTAAAGTGGGATTGGGAGAAAATAGGAAAATGTTTTGCCATTTACCTCTCAACAACCTACAATGCCCATATTAGTCTGGGTCCCCTTACCCCATCATATTTCCGCATTTTCTACATTGAACTTTCCCATAGATCAAATTGCCCTTCGTGTTCCCTGTGTTGACTCCTCTAGTTTAATACCATCCAGTGTAGTGGCGCTTCATTCTCCACAACGTGCAGTCCCCGCATTAACGCTTTCCATGTAACCAAATTACCTCTCCCCCTTTCCCCAAACTAAATCCCATCTTTCCTCACCCTATTCAGACACAGTTCGCACCCAAGAAAATCAATTTCCACCCACACCTCTATCACATTAATTTCCAAAATCTAATTTAGTAGGGCAATGTGGGACTACAACACGGGGAGTCCAGGCTGTTTTGTATGCACACACCCACCCACCAGCCCTGGCAAGGAAAAGCCCCAGGTGTAATGAACACAGAAGGGCTCCCTGCTAGCCCGAGTCGTTGGAAGATCAAGGTTCGGGACTATAGGCCAGTGTCTTATGACTTCGCACTGATCACTATCTGTCTGATTGTGACTCAAAAACCATAAAAGCTACAAATGGTTCGATCTTTGGAATCTCACCAGGGTTTCGTGTTTAAAATAAAAAAAATAAAAAAAAAATGTACACACATAGGTTAGAAATCAACTAAAACAGCAGTGAGTGACAGTGAAGTTTTACCAAATCAACGATGTGACCGCCCCAGCAGCCCCCCATGCCATTCATCTTGCCCCCCCTCTCCACCCCCAAAAAAGGTTATTCATTACACATCATTAACTCACCCAGGAGAAGCAGCTTTAATTCCCTCCTAGCATCTCTCTTATCCCTGCGGAGCTGTCTCTCGATTTCTGCATTAATCCGCTGGGACTCCTTCTCCTCTGCAGACAGACAGCACCCAGCCATCCTCCAGTCGCACTTGGAATAATTGAAACAATGATACTAAAGACACTATGTATCAAAAATAAAAGAAAGGGCCACAGAGTGGAAATCCCAGCTTTCAGTCAGCAGGGACCCTGGCCCTCCCTTACTACAGCACACACAAACTCTCTCTCCCCTTTATATGTAAAGTTGCAGTTCTGACTTCTTGTAAAGTACAAGCTGATCTCCAGATAGGAGAAGGAGGAGGGAGAATAAAACAAGAACAAAGCAAATGCGTCCCCCTTGTTTCTTTCCTTCCCAGCCCTTGGAGAAGCTTTCAAATCCTGGGAAGTCTCACAGCGGATCCCTAGCAGTCCCTCCTGAAGGCATCTGTGTGTGGTGAAGCCGGAGGAACTGATGGTGGGACCTGCAGGGCTTGCTGAGGTTGACCCCAGCAGTAATCACTGTGTATGACACAGAAAAGGAGGGGGGAGCGTTTGCAAGGAGGTCCCTCTTCCCTAGAAGCAGATGGACACAAGCCCACAGACCGGGAGAGAGGGCTGGAGGTGGGGTAATCACTGTTCCACTGAAAGCTTTCTTTTTCCTGAAGTAAAATGAAGGCAGACACAGGACCGCCCTCCTCCAGAACTAGGGTTGGGCTGTTTGAGCAGTGACTGTCTGCCAAAAACTGCTTCAAAAACCAATGCTGACTTTTTTTTTTTTTTTTTTTCCTTGTGTACCCTCTAGCATTAACAGGCTAATAATTAGTGGGGGATGGTTGTGTTCTTAGTGTTTTGTTAATTTTATTTTTTTTGTAAAAAATTTTTTGGAGCAGTAACATGTTCTTATTTAAAAAGGTGAAACAAAATTGTTTTTATTTGTTCAGATTGTGGTTTGCATTTTGTTACAATATGCAGTAATGAACACTATTATTTGATTCAGAGAATTGATGCATATGCACACACAGTAAAGCAGCTTGGGTTATTTACTAAATTATTTCCTCCTTTGCACTTCCCGCCCAACAAACACTGCAAACCGAGTTAATCAGTTGCTCAGTTCTGCTCAGATACACCTGTGTTAATCACAGATAAACCTGGGAGCCTTAAACCTGCACTGTAAGGGCCATGTCTTAAAGGGAGAAACTGAGAAATGTTTTTTATGTTTAGTAGATGCTATTAACAAAACCAAGAGCAATAATTACTACAATAACAATACCAGTAATGAAGATTGTATTGGGAAAAATCATGTACCACATGGATTCTCGAGGCACAGAAAATCATGAGAGATTTTGAGGAGACAAAGCCAGATTCTGGGTTATTGACTATAGTGAAAATTGTTAATTCAACGTGAATTTCAAATGGAAGACCAAAACTGCTAAATTCGAGAAACAAATTCCAAATTAGCTGTGCTTCCAGTTCAGCTACTTTGGTATAAAATTTGAAATTCACTTTGTTTTATTATTATTATTATTATTATTATTATTTATAGAGCACTATCAAATTACGCAGCACTGTACAATATTCCTGACCATTCTCACGTAGTAAAAACGTATTTGATTCTACCTCCTCAGCTCCTGTCCCTGCACATCACTAAAGAGAAAATACCTAGTTATGGTCAGCAGCTAAATATAGCTTTTTGTTCTCAGAATTGTAGCTCCCATAAATCTAGGACAGCCAAGGTATGTTTGTCATACTCAGAGCTGCCATCAGCGGGTACACAACCACTGAGATAAGGAGCCTACTCAAGTACTTGAAAGTTGCATTATCCAGAAAACACAGAAGATATCCCACTGAACATGCGCTTTACCTCACTCTATGTAAGGATTCACTTATTCTTTAACATAGTAGCGCTGGGAGGATGCAACATCATATGCCACTTAGGCACCAGGGAGCAAACACACGTAGTGGTGGCACCATGATGTTAGGCATCCTATTTCCTTACCATTCTGCCAAAGGAGTGTGGCGCAAGGCCACAAGTCATTTTGAAGACCAATGTGACATTTGAAGGAATAATCATATTATCACATCCTCCCAGCACTGCCGCGCATGATAACAAGAGGAGCTGAGCCCTTAACCTCAGTACTGCACACAAGGCCAGCCTTAGGCCTTAAGGCGCCCTGTGCGAAAAATCTTCACAGTGCCCCCCCTATCATACTCCTTTATTCAAGTACAGTGTATGTCAATATGTGTTTAGTGTTTGTATATAGGATTTATTAAATTAATAATTATTTAAAAACAAAAATGATTCCCCCTTCCCTGTTGTTACCTTGCAGGGAGGTGGGCATGCTGAACATGGTGATCCAGTATGTTGGGAATCTGGTCGGAGCCTCCACCGGGTGCAAGACCATAAGTAACTGTCTTGTGAGCTCAGGCACTTACATAGTCAGAGCTTTCCTGTGATAATCCGTGGCAACGTTCTGATTGACTGGAGCTCGGAGGACAGCTACATATTGCATTTTGTATGAGATAGCTCTGCTGTAATAAATCTCATAATATGATGTATTGTGTGGTGTCTGTGTGTGATATATGTGTGTGATATGTGTGCTGATATAAAGAGCAGAGGTTGTGCACTGGTAGGTGGAGAGCAGGAGGCATAGTGGAGGAGGGTGGGGAAACAGCGGTAGTGTAGTGGTAGGTGGGGGAGCAGGGCAGTGTAGTGGTAGGTGGGGGAGCAAGGGGCACAGTGGTGGTGTAGTGGTAGGTGGGGGAGCAAGGGGCACAGTGGTGGTAGGTGGGGTAGCAGGGGCACAGTGGTGGTGTATTGGTAGGTTGGGAGCAGGGGCACAGTAGTGGTAGGTGGGGTAGCATAGGTAGTGTAGTGGTAGGTGGGGAGCAGGGGGATCAGTGGAGGAGGGTGGGGGAACAGCAGTAGTGTAGTGGTAGCTGGGGGAACAGGGTGCACAGTGGGTAGCTGGGAAAGCAGAGGCACAGTGGGTAGCTGGGGGAGAGGGAGCAGTGTAGTGTTAGGGGAGCAGGGGGTAAGGTGGTGGTAGCTGGGGGAGCAAGGGTAGTGTATTGGTAGGTTGGGGAGCAGGTGGGGCAGCAAAGATAGTGTAGTGGTGGGTGGGGGAGCAGGCATAGTGTAGTAGTAGGTAGGAAAGCAGGGGCACAGCAGTGGTAGCTGGTGGAGCAGGGGCATTGTAGTGGTAGGTAGGGGAGGAGGGGGCACAGTGGTGGTAGGTTGGGGAGCAGGGGAACAGTGGTAGTAGGTGGGGGAGCAGAGGTAGTGTAGTGGTGGGTGGGGGAGCAGGGGGCACAGGGGGGAAGCAGGGGTAGTGTAGTAGTAGGTAGAAGAGCAGGGGAACAGTGGGTAACTGGGGGAGCAGAGGCACAGTGGTAGTAGCTGGGGGAGAGAGGGCACAGTGGTGGTAGCTTGGGAAGCAAGGGCCACAGTGGGTAAGTGGGGGAGCAGGAGGCACATTGTGTAGCTGGGGGGCAGGGGCACAGTAGGTAGCTGTGGGGGAGCAGGGGGCACAGTGGGTAGCTGGGGGAGCAGGGGTACAGATAGGTTAGGTGGGGGTGCAGGGGGCACAAGCTAGGTGGGGAAGCAGAGGCACAGTTAGGCTAGGTGGGGAAGCAGGGGCACAGCTAGGCTAGGTGGGGAGCAAAGGGGCACAGATAGGTTAGGTTGGGGGAGCAGAGGGCACAGTTAGGTTAGGTGGGGGGTACAAGGGGCACAGTTAAGCTAGGTGGGGAAGCAGGGGGCACAGTTAGGCTAGGTGGGGGATCAGGGGCACAGTTAGGCTAGGTGGGGGATCAGGGGGCACAGGCTAGGTGGGGAAGCAGGGGGCACAGTTAGGCTAGGTGGGGAAGCAGGGGGCATAGTTAGGCTAGTTGGGGGAGCAGGGGGCACAGTTAGGCTAGGTGGGGAAGCAGTGGGCACAGTTAGGCTAAGTTGAGGAGCAGGAACTGCTTCCCTTAACTTACCAGGGAGAGGGTTTGCCTGCCTGTAGCTCTGCCCCGCTTGCAGTGTAACTCCACCCACGCTTGTCATGTAGCCCCGCCTCTGATTGCCGCTTAACTCCGCCCCCTTTGTCCTCACTGATAGACCCGAGTAGGTGGCGGAGCGCGGCCACACTACACAGTGCAGCCTGTATTAGGGGAGAGCTCTGAGCACTCCCTCACTGGCTATCACTAGGAGAGTGTGCGAGCTGTGTCGGCTGCATGGCACCCCCTACTGTCATGGCTCGCACTCCCCTAAGGCCGGCCCTGACTGCATATACCCTCATAATGGCTGCCCTTAATGGGAGATACATATTTTGGCCGCCTCCCAGCGCTGCCAAAATTATAGGGGCCCAGTCGCACTGCTAAATGGCCACAGCTCCCAACCGGGTCCCCTAGCCACACCTGATGCAGTGGTGTTAGTTTCGCCAGAGCCATCCATCACAGTGATTCTGATGTGGGATAATCATGAGTATCTCCTTAGTGTGCCCAGATCTGTGTGTTATTTCTCTGTGTTTTACGCAGCTCTACAAGTCTCTGTAATCTACCCAACTCTATGTATTTTATAGATATCTTTAAATAATGCCAAATTCTTTTATTGTATGAGCCTGTCTGTATTATGCTCAGCTATCCGGATTGTATGAGTATCCTTGTACTGTATAGAGAGGAGTAAAATTGTGGGAGTGAAGTCTGGGGCCCCAACATCTTAGCACAAATTAGTAACAAAATGACCCAATGATAACGCTCGAAATACACTGTGATGATACCCTCTGTGTCTGCTTTTGCTAATTGTATAATTTGTGGTATCATTGTAATCTGTAAACTGCTAAAATGGCCCAAAATGAGAAACAGGAAATCAACCTAACTGACCACAGTTTTGAAAATTAACTAATTTGGTCCTGGAACATTACAAAATCCATGCAAAGGTATACATGAAAATATTTCTTTACTAGCTAAGCACCAGACAAGTAAAATTCCATTTACTCTGCACCCAAATTAATAGATCTGTCCAGGATTTATTTGTGGAGTTTTACCCAATGAATAAAACTCCACAGGTATATCCTGAACTGATCGATTAATTTGGGCATTAATTAAAAGACATTTGATTTGAATTTGTACCAGATGAAACACATTTGTGCACATGTTTACTGAGCACTACTTGTTTTAACTGCAGTAGCATTCATCGAGTTTACAAAATACACATCAAAGGTCCAATGTAGAGTGAAAAACACAAAATACATAATATTACCACCTTCACTACTGATTTGATAATTTGATGGAAATATTATTAGAATAACACTTTTTTGAAACAAGGAACGCATAGCCAGCATATACACTGATCAGTCATAACATTAAAAGCACCTGCCTAATATTGTGCCAAAACCACTCTGATGGAACGAGGCATGGACTCCACAAGACATCTGAATGTGTGCTATAGTATCTGGCACCAAGACATTAGCAGCAGTTATCATGAATAAAGCCCACATGAAAATTGTCCACAGAAAATCACGTACAAGAATAACACTCACACAGAAAATTGCTCACACTGAATAATGCCCACATGGAAAATTGGCTATGCGGAAAAATTACCACATGGAAGAATCCCCATATAGAAAACAGCCCACACAAACAAATGCCCTCGGGATAATATGAACATATAATAATTTGCAAGTAAAGGTAAATATGTATGCGCAATTTTATGTACCATAGATATATAATTGTAGATCACCATTTTTCTCCCATTTATGATTTAGTATGTATTTAACTAGCACAAGGGTGGCCAAAAGATAGATTCCCATCTGTTGTACACATCTCATGATGCATTGT